AGATTTATTTCAACTTGCTGGTTATGTCTTTGGGCATAAATGGAGAACATAATTTCCTCCTCATAGGGTTCACATTAGGGTAAGTAAGTACTATGTGTTGGTATGGGGGGAGGGACTCAGCAAATGTTGTCTTTTCCTTGTTTCCTCTACACTGATGACATCAATGAATTTAAAAACATTTACAAATGTTCCCTTCCCATTCAGCTGCCATTACTAGGTTTGGATTATTACCAACACAATTACCTTTGCGATACCTAAGCCATGTTCATACATATAGGCCAGATTAAACATGGCTTGAGCGCTGTGGTATTTGTCGGCTGCAATGCTGTAATGTGTGGCTGCTGTTTGATAGTCCTTCTTAGTCCCGTAGCCATAGTAATGGTAATCTCCAATTTTTACTCTAGCGAATGCATTGCCTGATAGAAATATTAGAAAGAGAAGAAAAAGAACTCCAATGATTCACATACAGTTCCTAGTAACTCAACTTGATGATACTATACATAGAAAAAGAAAAACAAAAGACTCAATATCCTAGAATCAAGATTAGATATAACTTATGGATATTAATTATAATGCTCATTGTTAGCTGTCTTCCTTGCAGGATAACTCCCATGGTATAGTACAAATGTTCATTCCTAAAGAATAAAAATTATGAATTTTACCTTTTAAGTTCATTTTGTGAAGGTAGGTCAACTCTTGAAAAACTAGATCCCACCCCTCCAGTTCTCAAACTTCACCCCTGAAGCTGTGTTCTCCTGCATCACCCATGTCTCCCTCTTTCCTAGATTAGTCCTGTCAGTCATTTAAACACACTTTGGTATCTTCTATGAATGAAAACAAATCCTTTCTTTATCCCATGGTGTGTCCTTTTAACTACTCCCCATTTCTCTGTTCCCTTCACACTCAGCCTTTCCAAAGTGTGTTCTATACTCAATGTCTCCAAAGCTGCACCTCCCACATACTCTTAACCCACTCCAATCTGGCTTCTGCCCCTCTCCATGGAACTGCCACTTTTAAAGTGGTTGGTAACCTCCATGCAGCCAAACCCATTGGCCACTTCCCTGTCCTCATCTCATTGGACCTATCTGCCCAACAACTTTCCTCTCTTGACACCAGTGACATCTCATTCTTTGGGTTTCTCTCCTGCCTCATCAGCCTCTCCTCTTTAAAAAAAAAAAAATTTTTTAACATTTATTCATTTTTGAGAGACAGACAGAGCACAAGCTGGGGAGGGGCAGAGAGAGACGGAGACACAGAATCCGAAGCAGGCTCCAGGCTCCGAGCTGTCAGCACAGAGCCCGACGCGAGGCTCGAACTCACGAACTGTGAGATCATGACCTGAGCCGAAGTCAGATGCTCAACCGACTGAGCCATCCAGGCGCCCCCAGCCTCTCCTCTTTAGACACTTGCCTGACTCCTCCTCCACCCAGCTTCTAAATGTTGGAATATCAAGGATTTATTAGTTAAATCCTCTTCTCCTTTCTTCTCTTCCTTCTTTTCTCTTCTTTCTCTCCCACCCTCCTCTATCTCAACTCTTTTTCTGGGTGATCTCAATTAGTGCCATGCCTATCTTGATGTTTACTCTTCCTGAATTTTATCTACAGTCCTGTCTTTCCCCCAAGCGCCCGACTCTTCTAATCACCTCTTTGACTTCTCTGCTGGGATCCCAAAATATTCAGTGGAGATTCCTAACACGCTGCTACCTCCCTCCCTCAAACCAAACCAAACCAACCCAAATAATCAGTTTCTTCCCAACCACAGTGCTAGCATCACTGTTCAGGCACAAATTTAAATTAGTTATTCCTAATTGTTTTCCCCTCCCTTCCATTATAGAATCCATTAGCAGGTCCTGTTGGTTCTACTCTCAAACACACTTGTTTCTTGCTGTCTCCTCCACCACCTAGTTGAAGCCTGGAATACTACAATATCTTCCAAACTGTTCTTTTATTTCCACTTTCCAATATATTCTCCATACAACAGCCAGGATGATTTTTTTTTAATATAAAGTCAAATCATATTATTCCCTTGTGTTAACCCCCAAAGTGCTTCACTTTGCACTTGGAATAATATCCAGACTTCCTAGCTGACCTACAAGTTGTACTTCATCTGCCTTTTCTGCCTCCCTGACTAGCCTCATGTTACTTTCTCAACATGCTCTAGCTTTCTTAATTTTCCTAATACTCCTTCAAAACATCAAGCTCATTCTTGCTTCAGGACCTCCGCATTAAGATTCCTCATGCCTGTCTGCCTGGCATGTTTGGACTAACTCTGACTCTTCATGTGTCTGGTTTCTCATTATTCAGACCTCACTGCAAATGTCATTTCCCTCCTAGAGGCCTTCTCTGACTACTGTGTCTAAAGCATTGACTCAGCCCCCCACTCTGGGAGTTATCTATCTCACCTCCATGGTTTATTTTCTTCACAGCATATATCACTGTTATTTTATTTGTTTAGTCTCTCTCTCCTTCATGAATTTGTTTTCTCTCTCTCTCTTATGAGGACAAGAACTTTGAAGGTCTTGATCACTGATTATAGTCCCAGACCTAGAATGATACTTGACAAATATTTATGGAATGAATGGACAAACATGGTAGGAAACTTTTTAGAAAATGCTTTCTCCAAATGTTATATAATTTAGAATCTTACTTTGCAACAAATTTGGATATAATCAGGAGTAGAAAAAAATTCACGTGACTTTTAAGATATGAGAATTCAATCCTTTGAAGACAACTTAGTGATGACCTTTGGGGATCCATGTTTCCATTCACTAGGAAAATGTTGATTGAAAAGATGAGGGAATGCTAACTAGGACATCCATCTCAGGTGTGGCTAACCCCTCTAGCACAGTCTAGACTTTCATGGAAAAGGAGAAAGCACCCTGTGTAGTATGTTCTCAGATGTATACTTAAGGGCTATAGGACTCCTCCATCCCAAATTTTCTCCATATTTGGCCTACTGCAATTCCTAAAATCCTTTGCAATTGATTCCTTTGGATACTGAAGTTCTCTTAATCTTCTAGAATCCTCTATTGGATTCTAATGTAATACCATGACCCATCTTTAGCTCTGAGTAGAGGTATCATTATAAAATTCTTAAGCTGCCGAAGACATTAGTTAATAGGCTTTGCTTCCCAGGTGCTTCAAAATATACAGGTAGATGAGGGGTGCCTTGGTGGCTCAGTTGGTTAAGCATCTGACTCTTGATTTCAAGAGGCTCAGGTCATGATCTCATGAGTTTAAGCTCCACTGTCAGTGCGGAGCCTGCTTTGGATTCTCTCCCCCACCCTCTGTCCACGCCCCCTTCAAAATAAATAAATAAACTTTAAAAAATGTACAGGTATCTGGGGGCAAGTCCTTATAGAAATGCTACCCAAGAGAAGGGATTGGAGGGACCCAGAGAGGCAAAAGTCCCCTGAAGCCCTAATGAGAAACCCACTTCATTTCTAATTTTGCCCAAAGCTGTCCTCCTTTGACCCTGAGATTCTTTCTGGGCTATAACCACAAACGGACAGGACTTCTATGTGTTTTCAAGCTTTAGAAGGGGTAGGCAGGACCTCTAAAATCTCTGAGAAGGAAGGCAGTGAACAGGCAGGTTCTCCAGAGGATTCAGCTCCACCCTAATTGGGGGGCTGACTGGGGGAATATAGTGACCTTGACAGGCTCTCAGGGGGTCACTTGACAGTGGGGAGGATTCCTCCTTGAATTTCACAGTCACAGCGTGGTGACTGGGTCCTGATGGTTCAGCGTTCTCTGCACACACTGCACCACCAGTGCTGATCAGAAATGTTCATTATTAGATTTCCTAACCTCAAGTGAGGTACAGCAGCCTCATCTCCAGAGACACTCATGCCTGACCTCTCTTGTGACACATAGTTAATTTTAGCAGCCTGACTTTTTTTTTTATATTGGAGAATTCTGTTTAATATTAATGTCCCCTCATTTTCAACGTCTCTTTTCCTTGGTGCAATTTCCACACATTTCCTGGCTTGGAACAGGCCTGTATTTGTTGCAATTGAGCTGATTTGCCACAGCTGAGAGATTGCTGGTGTTGTTTCCCTACACCAAACAAGGTCTTTATTGCATTTTAGAAAACATACACTTTTCTTCTTTAGGGAATTTCTCACTAAAGTTGCATGGATGGCTTGCTGCTGGGTCACCTGCTCAGCTAGATCTGAGAAGGCACCCCCCATAACTTTTCCCCTCTGCCTCATATTAATATCAGTTGAGAATTTTTTCATACCATTCACTTCTTATAGAAAAGAGGTGATTCGACCCAGCATGAGACAATTTTAAGCAACTTAATTGGAAGTAAAATTGCTCTTTTATTGCATGAGACTTCCTCACATATCCAAATGCAGATAGAGCTTTGCAGCATCTGTTTGCTTTTAATAATGCCACCTGCCAATGCTTTCCCACCAGTGCTATTACACTTTCCTTATCACATGTGAATCCTGTAAGCGGAGCATGGGAACCCTGGGAATAGGGAGAGGATCATGATATTTGACTCTGGGTTTTGTTCTGTTTTGTTTTCTGATGCTAACATGTTAATAGTTATAATAAAGGTGTGAAGTTGGTAGTAATCATCAATGTGGCACTTCAAAAGAGACATCAAATGAGTCTTAAATCCATAAGTAATTTTACCTATAAATTCATTGAGACATAGGTCACTACTCAGAAAAAAACTCAGTAAATGTGTGACTGAAGCCAGAACAACAAAACTGGTTTCCTGAGTAAAATTGTCATATTTCAAACAATTGTTCTGGTGCCATGGAGACAGAGCCATAGAAAAATGTCTATTGTTTACTAAACCAGGACCTTGAGAATAACAAAGAAATTCCTGGAAATGACCTGTCAACCAAAGACTGACCCTAACATTGGTACAGTTTGAAATACCACCTTCTTGATATCTTGCTTATACACCCGAGAACTCGGCTGAAGCGAATCGATGACTAATAGTGGACGGAGACCAGGTACGTGCTTATTTTTATCTAGGTTCTATACCTTGAATGGCAGCTCGATTCCATAGGAGAAGTGCCATTGGATACATCTTCTCTTTTTCAAGAATTTTAACCTTTTCTAAAAAAAGGAGAAATTTCATTAGGAAGGCTTAAAATACCCGTGTAGTAAAGTCATTTATGCATATGTATGATTGGGGAATTGCAGAGAATTTTAACTTATCTTACTAGATTCCAAAATGAATGCTGAATTGCTTTGAGCTACTTCATACCCCATTTCTGCAAGCAGTGCATACTGAACAAGAGAAGAATCTATATCACCATCCTTATAGGCAAAGTATGCTGTCAGGAATTTCTCAGCCCAGTGGCCTAGTTCACAGACACCTTTATAAAGCTGTATATGGAAAAAGAAATCAAGCAGACTAGTTAGCCAATATACTTCATCCCAGGTAAATGATGAATGAAGTCAATCTTCAGCTCCTGCTGGCTGGTCAGGCAAGGATTTCAGGTTTAAAGCATGGCTTTTTTGAAAATTATTTAGGGTGAAGACATAATACCTTTCATAGGCACAGAGATTACAAGTGTGTATTTTTTGGTCTTGAGCTGAAACTTCCGGAGGCTTATTTTAAATTTGCGTAATAAACTTTCCTGACTTAGAGGCTATTTGGCAGGACAAGAATACATCGACTTCTTTTTTTAAAAAAAGGACTTTTCTGGGCACTGCTACACTGCAAGGGTGAGTGATAAGGCCACAGCTGATGTGGAAAGGAGAGAATGAAGGGAAGACAGTGCCTGAGGGTGTAGGTGACATAACCACGAGGGAGGTGTGCAGAGCTCTGTGGGGACAAACGTCAACTTAGCTGAATAGCCCTTATGTAACCAAAGAGGCTAGCCATACATAATTCATTAGGAAGTTGGCAAAGGAGCAAATCTAAAGATAGATTATTAGCTGGCAGCTTTTGAAATGAGTTTCAGAGGGGCCAGATTGCAACATGGAGGTATTTATATTGGTGCAGTGGAAGTGTTTAATAAATCAATGAAGGACATTAAAGTCCTAAAAGCTTTCTTTTGAAAAGTACATCACTGGCTCAGGCTGAAAGAATTCACCTTCTCAGCTGTCATCCAAATCCTCAAAAACCTAAGGGCCCTGCTTTCCGGGAAGCAGTGGGCTGTGTTTTCTGGGCTAAATCAAGACTTTCATTACCCACAACTCTCAATCCCACTGAAGTGTCCAGTTGCCCCGGCCATTTGAGTGAAGGCTGAGACAGAGCTCCTTAACTGAATTCTGAGGTGAGCTCTGAACCTGATGAAAAGCCAAATGCAAGTGAGGAGGGATCATTTCTCTTCTTCCCTTTCCCAGCCTGAGTTTCAGCACTGCTTTTCCTCCCTGGCAAAAGTCAGTGTTCACGCTGTCAACTGGGAGAGGTAATATCTATAAAATCATAGACACCAACAACTTAAGGACAGTTTCACCTCCTCTGTGTGATAAATGAAAAATACTTTAAAAACATCCCATTATTTACCTCCACAGCAGTTCTGCACGATCTTAACACTCCTGTTCCTGTTGCGTACATCTCGGCCAGATAATAAATGGCGAGGGGCTGCCCACTCTGAGATGCCAAGTAAAAATATTTGAAGGCAAGTTTATAATCCTTCCATACTCCAGAGCCAGCTGAAAATTAAAATTATTTTGAGCCACCCCTCATTTGTGTTATTTTTTATATTATAATCTATGAATATAATGGTCATAGTGATGCCTTCTGTTTTAAATAAGAACCAACCAATCCATAGCCAACCAAAAGTCAAGCTGTTACAGATCCACTATTTGTAGGGGGGAAAAGCTGAGTTTGATTATAAGTAAGAATAAGGAAATTTATGTTCTTGACCCATTCAGAAATCTGAAGAAGGACTCTTTAGTCTCATGAAGATATCTCTTCAATACAACATACCTAAGATTAATAAAAGTAAACTAAGTGTGGTCTCTGAGTACCAGGGACAATAACTAGGATGTGGCTCACCATCCTTGTCCTTCCACACCAGAAGACCAGTGTAGTGCCTCCCTGTCATAACTATAGATTTTGGAGCAGGCAAATCCCAGCTCCAGGAGGCTCAACTCAGATTCAACTCATGCTTGGAGCAAGGAGAGGCATTTGGGACTAGGATAGAAAAATCAGCATACTCTCAGCAGCTGGGATTCATATCCTGGCTCTTTCATTATTCCTTTGTGAGTTGGGTACTTCTAGGCCCTTTATTTTCAAAAGGAGAGGCTTTCGCTAGATGGTCCCTAAATTGTCTTCCAGCTGTTAACATTTCATAACCTTTAGAAGCGGTGCCACTAAGAGCAAAGGCTCTGGAGGCAGATCACTTGGGCTTGAATTACCAGTTCCACTAACTGCGTGATCTTGGGCAAGCTCTTGGACCTTAATATGGCTCAGTTTGCTCATCTATAAACTGTAGGATACCCCCTAGATGTGCTGATAGGACTAAATGAGTAAATGCACATAAAGACTTAATAAACATTAGCCATTACTATTTCTCTTATTTTAGAAGCTTGAGTTATCTGATGGATCCTGGGCCTGCAACTTGTAATGAGCCAGAAGAACAAGGCCATCTTAGGCAACTACCCAAGACAAGTACAAAACAGGCAATCTCCTTGGGCTACTAAAGAAAATGTCAGCGGATGTTGCAGTCTGCTGCTACCCTAGCTCTACCTCTGAAAGGAAGGACTTATGGGGATACTCAGGTATGTTCAGATCTCATGGTACTTGTCTTGGGCACTCCCTCTCTCAGTTCCCACAGAGTATTACAAAGTTTCATGGCTTCCTAAGACCTCCTACCCCAATCACTCTACCTTCCCTCTCAGAAGACAACTTGGTACCTCCTAGCTCATTGAGGAAATTCTTGCATTGTCTTTTCTCACTTGCTTCTCTCTCCTTCCTTCCAGATTTACATCTGCAATATCCTTTCCTCCATCTCTCCAGTCTTTGAGGGTGAGAAGTTCCTCCTCTTTATTAAGGCTAATGAGGCCTCCACCTACCTGGGTGCAGTCAGATCCTAATGCCACCCTATTTTTTCCAGAACCTCTTCATCAATTATCTCATAACTTCCATGACACATTGATTATCTCCAATAATTGTCTGGCTCTTTTTTTTTTTTCAGAAATTATACCCAGGTCTCCCATCATCTTAAAAAGAATTCCCTCTTGGTTCTTGGTCTCTCTCATGCTACCATTCCATCCTTCTTCCTCCATTTAAAGGCACACAACTTCCAAGAATATTTTTACTTATCTACTTTCTCACCTTCCATTCATACCTCAACACATTGTGTCTGGTTTCTATACCAACCAGTCCAATGACCACATAAACATTCTCTATATTGACAAGGCCCATAGATTCTCAGACCTTTTTTATTTTTTGTTTGTTTTGTTTTGTTTTGTTTTGAAGAAGCAGGTTTCTCATTACATTTCACAGAGGGGCTCATTCATTTATTCTTTCTTAACAGTTCTATCCTATGGCTTCCTTAAAATCACTTTTCCCCCCATTCCTCTGATCATGCTTTTTCAGTCTTTTTGTGTCTTCACAGTCCCCACAGAGTCTTCACTCTTTCTTTGCCAATCTTTTCAATACAACAGTGAGGACCACCAGATTTCTGACCATGGCCCACTGTTCCTTTCATGTTTTCGTTTCCTTTTGCAGTCTCAGCTACTTTTAATTAACTCCTATATGTTGATGCCTCTCAAATCTTTCTCTTCAAGTTTGACCTTTCTTGTGAGTTTCATACCTGTTTTGGGGTGTCCACTGGACATCACAAGGCACCTCAAACTCAACCTTTTCAAAAGTGAGCTTCCTGACTATACCTTTTGCCTCCTTCCTCAACTGGTATCTTTTCCTTCAGTCTTCAAATTCCTCCTGAGATTGCTGCCTCAAATTCTATCTAAATCAATCACTCCAGCAATTTGATTTTTGTTAAAAAAGGAGTAGACTTAACAATGCATTTGTCATATGGATCCAGGAAAGACCCCGAAGAGCCAAAGTAATGTTGAAAAAGAAAACCAAAGCTAAAGAAAACCAAAGCTAAAGGCCTCACAATTCTGGACTTCAAGCTGTATTAGCAAGCTATAATCATCAAGATAGTATGATACTGGCACAAAAACAATTACATAGATCAGTGGAACAGAACAGAGAACCCAGAAATGGACCCACAAATATATGGCCAACTAATCTTTGACAAAGCAGGAAAGAATATCCAATGGAAAAAAGACAGTTTCTTCAGCAAATGGTGTTGGGAAAACTGGATAGCAACATGCAGAAGAATGAATCTTGACCACTTTCTTACACCGTACACAAAAATAAACTCAAAAATGGATGAAAGACCTAAATGGAAGACAGGAAACCACCAAAATCCTAGAGGAGAGAACAGAAAACAGCCTCTTTGATCTTGGCTACAGCAACTTCTTATTAGACATGTCTCCAGAGGCAAGGGAAACAAGAGCGAAAATGAACTATTGGGACCTCATCAAGATAAAAACCTTCTGCACGGTGAAGGAAACAATCAGCAAAACTAAAAGGCAACCGACATAATGGGAGAAAATACTTGCAATGACATATTGGATAAGGGTTAGTATCCAAAATCTATAAAGGACTTACCAAACTCAGCACCCAAAACACAATCCAGTGAAGAAATGGGCAGAAGACATGAATAGACACTTTTCCAAAGAAGACATCCAGATGGCTAACAGACACATGAAAAGATGTTCAACACTGCTTATTATCAGGGAAATACAAATCAAAACCACAATGAGATACTACCTCATACTTATCAGAATGGCTAAAATTAACAACTCAGGAAATGACAGATGTTGGCGAGGATGTGGAGAAAGGGGAACACTTTTGCACTGCTGGTGGGAATGTGAACAGTGCAGCTATTCTGGGAAAATAGTATGGACGTTCCTCAAAAAATTAAAAATAGAGCTTCCCTAGGACCTAGCAATCGCACTACTAGGTATTTATCCAAAGGATACAAATAGCTGATTCGAAGGGGCACATGCACCCCAATGTTTAGAGCAGTGCTATCAACAATAGCCAAATTATGGAAAGAGCTCAAAAGTCCATTGATTGGTGAATGTATAAAAAAGATGTGGTATATAGACACACCCACAATGGAATATTACTCAGCAATCGAAAAGAATGAAATCTTGCCATTTGTAACAGCGTGGATGGAACTAGAATGTATTATGCTAACTGAAATAAGTCAGTCAGAGAAAGATAAATATCATACGATTTCACTAATGTGGAGTTTAAGAAACACAATAGACGAACAGAGGGGAAGGGAAGGAAAAATAAGATAAAAAGAGAGAAAGAGGCAAACCATAAGAAACTCTTAAATACAGAGAACAAACTGAGGGTTTCCTGGAGGAGAGGTGTGGGGAGGGGGATGGGCTTACTGGGTGATGGGCATTAAGGAGGGCACTTGTGGTGAGCACCAGGTGTTATATGTAAGTGATGTATCACTAAATTCTATTCCTGAAACCATTATTACACTATATGTTAACTAACTTGGATTTAAATAAAATTAAAAAAAAATAATGCACTTGTCAGTCTTGGCACAGTAGCTATATTTGTAACACTTACAGTAGTACATGAAGCCTAACTGAAACTGTGCGTTGGGCCATCCTTTCTCTGCAGCTTTCTGAAAGTATTTAAGTGCTTCAGCATAATTCTGCAAGATAATTACACTTTATTACTCAAAGGTGTATTGTATAACTCCATGGTAACAATTGTCTTCTTTTTTTTTAAAGAGTATAGATAGTGCCTTATGTGATTTAGGCTAATTAAAATAGTATCAGAAGCATTATAGACTTTATTTAATAATTATATTATACTCTATTAGGAAATAATTATCTCATTTTCACTGTAAATTATGTCTTTTCCTACACTGACAGTATTTTTTTTTTTTTTTTTAGATATTGGGGAAAGGTCACCCAAAAGTGCAGAGGATAACAAAAAAGATAAATTTCTCTGTCAGAAAAAGTCTTCAGGAATTATATAATTTCTAAGGTTACTTAGAGTCTATAATTCTAAGATATAAATATGGTCATTATTCTTGTCACAAATTTGTTCTATGTCTCTTTGGCAAATATTCCACTGGATTATTTTATTTCTATCATCAAATACGATAGTTTGGCAAACTAGGTATTAGACACTAATTCTTTTAAATTAATCAACAATCATGAATTTTACCCCATAAATTGCTAGAAATATGTTGAAAAGATAATGAAATTATTTAACTTACCACAGGAACTCCTTTCCCATAAAAGTAAAGAAGACCAAGCCCATGAAGACCAATTGCATTGCCCTGGAACAGTTTTAAAAATCCAAGTAAAGTCCCAGAAGAATTCATGATAAGGTAAATTATGGAAAAATCATTCTAAATATTTAAAATGCACCCAGTAGAGGTTTAATCAAGGCAGGTTAATGAGACAGTTGGTAAATTATTCTATCTCTCTCTAGTTTCTCCTTTCATGCCTTCATAACCCCCTCTGACGAGAAAAGAGGGAAAAAAAAGCCAAATCTTTTCTCCATTCTTTCATTCAGCATTTATTTAGCGCTAGCTTTGTGAGTGACTCCATAATAGGCATTGGACAGACGTAGGAGGTGAAAGTTGAGAGGTGACAAAACAATGATCCCTGTCTTAGAGAGTTCACAGGCTAGTGGGCTCTGATCCACTAAGTAGCGCCTCTTAAAATAGTCACGTCAAAAGTGGTAAGTCCTGTACTAGAAACAGATCAGGAGTCTTGTGGACACCTAGAAGGGGGACTCAACTGCCTAGATGAGGGTAGAGACTGAGGGGATTGAGTTGTCAGAGGTGGTTGACATTTGAGTTTGGTCTTGAAGGATGTGTAGGAATTTTCCAGAAGAGAGAAGTCTATCCAGACACTTGTTACCTGCTTTGGTCAAAGGAGGTTGACATAAATGGCCAAGTAACATTTTAGAGATTCTTTGAATTTCGATCTAGCAATTCTGGATGGTAAGGTGTTGTTAATATATGTTTCTTTATTTAAATCTGATTGCTTATAACATCATCAGTGTTTTCTTTTCCATTTGATGCTAAATTAACTACCATTTCTTTTTCTGATTAGTATTCTAAAGAGCCTATGGAATGGAGTATTTATTTAGCATGTTTAGAATTTAGCACATGTTCAAATACATCAGTACTTTGCATATCAATCCTGGATGAAGTGTGAACCTTGAAAGTGACTTCCCCAACCAGGAAGCCCACTTTTCTTTTTGTCTCCCATCATGTATTTCACCTGCTAGTGACTGAGTAAAGAGGCACATTTGGCCACTCGACTGTCATTCAGTAGACATATAGGTTTGTTTTACAGGTTTATAGTATTTCCTCAGGACTCAAGTTTTGATAGAAAACTCTCCAGATTCTTTTTACCACCTAAATGTAGTTATTGTGGATGCAGCCAGAGTCCCTCTCACTGTTACAGGAATAGCACGTAACTAGAGAAGGCATAGTTCAAAAATTATTTCGAAACTCCAAAGTTTGAGACTATGCATATCAAAGGGCCAGCTATTCCAAGAATTCTTAAGGATGGTCCAGCTGTATTTAAAACCAGTGGTATACAACTGCTCTCTTCTTCTTGCCTGTCCCCTTACTATGTATCTACTTGTTGTCCTAGAACTCTTGGGAAAGTCTGGTCTGGGGGTGGTAAGGCCTTGTGTGATGGATGTGGTAAAGTCTGGTGAGTCTGTCTTCTAACAGTGAGTCTGTCTTCATTCAGGTGTTGAGAAAAATAGAAGAGAAGGGAAATGAGAATAGAGAAGGAGGAAGGGAGAGAAGAGGGTAAGGTTTCTAACCTTTGGCTCACCAACTATTTATGGACCAGAGTACTTGTTTATAATTTTCAGGTCAGGAGTGGCCCACTTAGATCCCTCCAGGAGCCATTCAGGTAATGTAAGTAGTACATCAATCTGGTGATAGACTGACAGAGACTGAGGCAAATCAGAGAGTTCCTGCCCTGTTTAAAGGCAGTAGCACCACTCAAGAAACTGCCCCAGGCAACTGTTGTCACATGGAGTGGCAGCCTCATATGGTCAGCTCTTCCCATTTTCCAAGAAAAGCTGGATGTCCAAATTTGAATATGTAATTTCCTGGTTTGTTTTTTTACTTCAATATAGTTGACACACGATGTTACATTAGTTTCAGGTGTACAGGATAGTGATTCGACAACTTTATACATTGCGCTGTGCTCACAGGTGTAGTTACCAACCGTCACCATGTAAAACTTCCTAATTTTTGAAACACTTTTTGGGCCAAATAAAACATGTGTAGGCAATCCCCCCACGAACAGCTTCCACTTTAGGGCTCATTGCTCTTGCTTAGGTTAAGTGACATGAACTTAGAAAGCAGATGGTCATTTATTGTCAAATATGTAATGAACTTCTATGTACTAAGACCACTATCCTCCTCTAGTTGAGGAGACATGGCCTTCAGATAATAGGAGAGAAGGCATAAGGTAGAAGCAGTAAAATTCCAGCAGTACAGAGAGTGAATGCAGGGCAAGTGCAGAAAAGAGAAAAATTATATAAGCCAAGGTGGGTAGAGGTGGTTTTGTGGAAGGAGAGAGGAGAGAGGATTGAGCTCTCCTCTGGGAAATGGGTTGGATTCAAAATGGGGGATTTTAGGGAGGGAGTCAGAATGACAGAAGTGATAGGGATGGGCCTGATCTGTGAAAGAGAAAACCAGAAGAATATGGTCCAATATGGACCCAACAGGATAACTGCTCATGTTTCTGAGAAAATAAGATAAAAGAAGTCATAAAGACTGTAGCTTTGTATCCTGATCTGATGACTTAAAAGCAAATTAAAAAACATATATATATATATATATATAATCTTAATGTTATATCTTATCTTAATATTATATATAGTAAGAGTATGGGTATGCAGAAAGTGGAAGATAGAAAGACAGAAAACCTTTTACTTTGGTAGTGACCCCAAGTGAGAAATCTAATAAACCATCAACCAGGTGATGATAAAGGAATATATGGTCATGTCCACCTGATGCCATTCAGAATAATTACCTAAATATAATTTTAGATTTATCTGTAAAGAAAGACAGCTCAGATTTAGAACACAAGTAGCTCAGATTCCTGCCCTGAATAGCTTGGAAGCCGGGTTAATTTACACACCCAACTTCCTGGCGTTATTCCTTTGGGCTGACAAATCAGTGTTATTTGCCAGATTACAAGAGATCTTCCTCTGTTACTTAACCCCACCTCTTTTTCAACCAGTTTTCCCTTGTCATCCTAATCTAATGGTACTCCATCCAGATCACTTTCTTGCTGAGTAAAAATTTCATATAAATTACTAGGGAGAGGAGAGGAGAGGAGTACCAGCCTTCTCAGTAATTTACAACACAATAGCAGCAGCTCCAAGGTGCTACTCACTTATAAATAGGCTCCTAAAGCAGCATGTGGGCTTTTAAAAACTGAGTACAGTTGAAAGTATTCCCCAGTTTGAGCACATCTTCACTCCCAGTGTTGCAGTAAGGTATTGTGAGACAATGAAATCCTTCCTGCTGTGCAGGGTTAGAAAGTTTATCAAGGCCATTTCCCAGCATTAGGCACATGGGTGTTACAATGAGGATGTTCTTAATGCACTAAAGGAAGTCAGAGTAGTCTACTAAGTTTTATCAGACAGATGCTAGCGTCACTGAGCCCCGGAATCAAGACAAAAATTTTAGTGGCAGGAGCCATATTATTCCATTTCTATATTCCTTCATAGATCCAATTAATTCAGCTTTGGATATGCTTTGAAGTTCACTCTACCTAACTGGCCCCAGACTGCAGAAGATAAGCTGACCCACTGCATCTACTGTAAGCCAGGCACTGCTTTAAGTACTTTGCAATAAAAGGCATATAAACATAAACTCATTAGATCCTGGCAACAACAATATGAGGCAAATCTTCTTATACTCCCATTTTACATTTGGGAAAATTGAGGCACAGAGAAGTTAAGTAACTTGCCCATGGTCATACAGGCAGTACGCTGCAGGGCTGGCATTTAAACCATGGATTCTGCCTCCAGAGTTGTGTCTCAACCATCTTGTCCTGGTCACCTATCTGATGATCTGCCTGGGCCAGAGAGATTTCTGGCCTTTGAGTAAGACTAAACTGGAAAAAACTAGGCATTTCTTATTTGTCCTTGTCCTGAACTTACTGCAGATATTGTTTGAGTTTTCCCTTCCTCTGTCCTCTTTTATTTCCTGTTTCCTGAGCTAGGTGGCCTCACCTACTGGGGGACAGAAAGCTGAGCTTTTGTTTGCCCTCATGCTGGAGAAGCATGTCATTGCCATTTTTCATTTACTGAGAAAACAAGATGTGTCTCCCCCTATCCCAACTCCACATTTTATTGTCAATGATATTCTTCTCCAAGACATGAAACTCCCAGGCTCATTACTTGGGCATGGGGCTTTGAAATCAACTCTTCTGCATGAGTCTGCATGTAATAAAAGCCAAGTGTTTTAAAGTGCTTACAGAAATGGGCTGAGTACATACCTTACTGGCTGCCATGGAAAAGTATTTGAAGGCAGTTGCGTTATTTTGTGGGGCTGCAGCGTTCCCCTCTAAATACATCTACAGAAACAAACAAGAGGATGTAAAAAAAAAACTGAGGAATTTGTGGGTGATTAAAATGTTTTAGAACTACATAGTAGTGATAGTTGGCCAACATTGTGAAATGCAGTGAATGCCACTGAATATACAGTTTAAAATTGTTGATTTTACGTTGATTTCACCTCAATTTTAATCAAAGAAAAAACTGAGGAAGCAACCTACAACACACATTCTGGAGTGACCTGGCCTAAGGGCAGAGAAACGGACCCTATTTTGTGTCTTTTTCACTGTTTCCTTCCATCTAAATTAGTATGTAGCACTTCTGGAAAAGGAGCATTTGTCCCCATGGTTACTAATGCAAATTGGCCGCAGGGAGCCAAGGGCAGCACTTGGGGGGATGAATGGTCTTTGAAGGAGAGAAAAAAATGTTCTTCTTTAGAGGAACTGTCCACAAAAGTTGCTCAGCAGCCGAGGGCCCTCCCTTGATAGTTGGCCCCAGGATGGACTTTGGTCGGCTTAGAGCTGGTTCTCATTTCCAGGGTGTAGGAAGGAAGTCACACGGGAGGCAGGGGGGGTGGGGGGTGGGGAGGTAGAGGGGGGGGGGGGGGGGGGGGGGGGTGGGAGGGGTGGTGGGGGTGGCTATACCAGTTAGATGTTCAGTTCACCCAGATCTCTTGTTACATGCCAGAGTAGGGGGTCATGGTGGTGGTAGGGGTCTCTGCCCAGGAACCCTGAGCCAGGTGCACTTTCAAGGCTGTTTTTGGTGCCTCAGACAAAGGCTGCTGTTGTATGGGGCTTTTTCTCAAACTGTCACCTCAAGAATAGTATCCTCAGTCTGTAGTGGAATGCCCTGGCCAGCTGCTTCCATGAAAGACATCTGTCATGCTATACTGGGTTCAATTAGCTGGTACCATTAGTTTCTTAGGTTTTTAAGAAATGAAAAGTACTGATCAAGATGAAGCATGTACCTTTCCTATAAATGCCATGGCATTTGCACTCCCAGCCTTTGCTGCCTTTAAGAAGTAGTATAATGCTTTCTGGAGAGAAAAGGAACAAACAGTATTATTGACAGTCACAAACATATCCTACAAAATGTTTTTCAAACCAAACTTTATTTCATTTAACATACATTCAAAAAATATCTATGAAATGCCCACACTGTTTAAGGCACTGTTTCAAATGTTATTTCAACCATAAACCTGAAGAGTGGGTGCCATATAGAGTTCACAAATATAATCTTAAAATGTGAGGACTGTTCCTTGCATGTGGAAAGGCATCATGGGCATGTGGCTTTGTGGAGGACAGATGAATCCCACCTATAGAACTACATAGTTCATTATTTTGAAAAAGTATGCTTCAATGTTAACAGTATGTACTTATTTTATAAGACATTTTGTACAATTTGGTAGAATTGGACATGCAGCCTCCTAATGTTTATAAGGCCAAGTGAGTAAAAGACACCTCTAGCTCCTGCTGAGACTAAGTCTTTTTTTTAAAATATATAATTTATTGTCAAATTGGTTTCCATAAAACACCCAGTGCTCATCCCAACCAGTGCCCTCCTCATGCCCATCACCCATTTTCCCCTCTCCCCCACCCCCCGCCATTAACCCTCAGTTTGTTCTCTGTATTTAAGAGTCTCTTATGGTTTGCCTCCCTCCCTCTCTGTTTGTAACCGTTTTCCCTCCTCTCTTCCCCCATGGTCTCTGTTAAGTTTCTCAGGATCCACATATGAGTGAAAACATGGTAACTGTCTTTCTCTGCCTGACTTATTTCACTTAGCATAATACTCTCCAGTTCTATGCACGTTGCTACAAATGGCCATATTTCATTCTTTCTCATTGCCAAGTAGTATTCCATTGTATATATAAACCACATCTTCTTCATCCATTCGTCAGTTGATGGACATTTAGGCTCTTTCCATAATTTAGCTATTGTTGAAAGTGCTGCTATAAATATTGGGGTACAAGTGCCCCTGTGCATCAGCACTACTGTATCCTTTGGGTAAATTCCTAGCAGTGCTATGGCTGGGTCATAGGGTAGTTCTATTTTTAATTTTTTGAGGAACCTCCACACTGTTTTCCAGAGCGGCTGCACCAGTTTGCATTCCCACCAACAGTGCAAGTCTTTTTATAGAAGTGAACTTCAGGCTAATTCTTTCTAAAGCAAAATGAAGGAGGCCAGCCTAGCCTCTGCTTCTCTCTAGGTTGTAACATTAATTGAAACGCTCAGTATAGAACATCTAAGGGCTGACCTGTCCCTTGTTGCCCCATTCCTTAGGCTTCATCTTAACCTCCCAGAAGTTCTCCTCAGAAACCACATGGAACATTAAAAGAAATTAGGCCCACAAATGAGAAATGAAGACACTTTCCAAAGTGTCTTTTTAGGACATAACTCTTCTGTCTTTAAAAAGCCTCAACTAAGAGTGCCTGGGTGGCTCCATTGGTTAAGCGTCTGACTCTTGATCTCAGCTGAGGTCATGATCTCACAGTTTGTGAGATCAAATCCCATGTCAGGCTCTGTGCTGACAGTGTGGAGCCTGCTTGGGATTCTCTCTTGCTCTCTGCTTCCCTGTCTTTCTCTCTCTTTTTCGCAAAATAAATAGACTTAAAAAAAAAAAGCCTAGGGGCGGGCATCCGGATGGCTCAGCCGGTTAAGCATCTGACTTTGGCTCAGGTCATGATCTCACAGTTTGTGAGTTCAAGCCCTGCATCAGGCTCTGTGCTGATAGCTCAGAGCCTGGAGCCTACTTCAGATACTGTGTCTCCCTCTCTCTCTCTCTCTGCCCCTCCCCTGCTCACACTCTGTCTCTGTCTCTCTCAAAAATAAACATTAAAGAAAACAAAAAACAAAAAAAAAAAAACAAAAAAAAACCCAAACCTTGACTAGGTTGACATACAAGAATCTGCTCCTTCCCAAAGAGGAGAGGACATTTAAGGAAGAAATGTGAGTAGTTCCTTTATATGTACATTTGCTCCAGAAATATTGCCAACTTATTTGGGAATCACACCCTTGTTGTAAGTTAGTCTGCCTTGTGGACATAACTAAATACGAATGCCACCAGTGCTGGACCTCACTAAATCATATACCCATTCATCCATTTATCTCTTCTATTCTTCATTTATTCTTTGTTTCAAAAACTTAATTGAAAAGTGCTATATATAGTAGTAGTGTGTTAAGTATTATAGGTGATTCATAGATGAACAAAAAACACCATCCCTACCTAAGCTTTCCACCAATACTGCTGTGAAGAAAGGTAAATAGCAATGACAGTAGGTGAAAGGTGGGATAAAAGCAACACCAAAAAGAATTAGAGAGGCATGGAATAACAGAAATTGTATATAAGTGTTTTACAAGCTTTGTCTTACCTAATCTTCACAACAGCAGTATAAGGAATGACACTCAAAGTGAAGCAGCTGGTACCAGAGTTCTCCCGATTCAATTCCCATGCACTTTGTACTCTGCCTTCATGGTGTCAAGAAAGAGGACTTAAATGACAAAGGTCTCACAAAAGATGGAGAGGATTCACCAGCACAGAGGGCATCATAGGCTGGAGGAATAACATGAGCAAGGAACGGAGATAGAAATGTTCAAGATGTGTTTAGGAAACAGTAATTACTTCAGTATGGCTGAAGTAGAATATCCAAAAGTTACGATGTGCAGGAATATGATGGGGCCATATTATACCAGTCCTGGATACTAGGCCAAAGTTCCTCTTTTATTTGGCAGAAAATAGAAGGCATTGGAAATTTATGATCATAAGGGAATCTTGAGACAACAAATGATGTCCAAAATGTCTAGAATAACCTAAGTGTCAATTGGATAGGAGCAAACTGTAGCAATGTATGATTTATTAATCATCTATCAGTAAATAAATCAAAGGTATGATTTACCAATCACATTTATCTGATCCCATTAATACAGAAAATGAAGGTATTTCTTATAAATGGGTCAAGACCCAAAATACCCGTGGGTAACTATCATGGCATACATCCATACATTTAATTGTTTGCTTAATTTTCTGTCTCCCCCAGTGTTGAATCCTCTGTACTTAGCACAGTATCTACTGTATATCAGTCACTTAGGAAATATTTCTGGACTGAATGCATGAGTGAATGAATGAAAGAGTAAGTTTATAAATCTCTAAAACAGGGGAACTAGATTTTAAGCATTATAGTCCCTTATAATTCTCATACTATGATTCTGTGACATAATTCTCAAAGTCTAGTTTCAGAATCTGGCTTTCAAATACATATTTGGCAATAGAGAGTTCTGGGGGAAAAAACTGTCATTTTGGTGAACTATACTTGAACTGTTAAAGGAGATAAACAAATAAGAATCAGAAGATAAGAATCCTGGAGTTTTCCCCATCTTTCAATATAATGATCCCATAAGGACTAAAGGAATTGAAGCTTTCTCTAATTTTCCCTTCTATACCCCTCCACTCTCATGACTTACTCAGCATTTCAGTTCTCTTTTATTTGTCTTTAAATTAACCTACCTTTAATGCTGTTGCATTTACTAAACATTTACTAAGCTCTGTGTGAAAGTATCACACAAGTTACTTTGATGGGTCCTTGCTCTCAAAGAGTTAAATATCCATCCATCCATCCACCCATCCATCCATCCACCCATCCATCATCTGCTGCAGTCTGCATATTTGTGTCCCTTCAAAATTCATATGTTGAAACCTAATATCCAAGATGATGGTATTAGGAGGTGGGGCCTTTGGAAGGTGACTGGCAGAGCTTCCATGAATGGGATTAGTGTCTTTATAAAAGAGGCCCCAGAGAGCAAGCTCAAGTTCTGTTACATGAGGATACAACAAGAAGTCCATAAACTGGATAGAGGGCCCTATCTAACCATGCTGACACGTTGATGTCAGACTTCAAGCTTCGAGAACTGTGAGAAATATATTTCCATTGTTTATAAGCCACCCAGACTATGGTATTTTTGTTACAGTGGCTAAAACAGACTGACACCATCTATCCTTTATTCAAATATTTACTGAGCACCTACAGTCATATTTTACTGATTCTCAGATGTGCCCCCCACTTTAATCAGACACTTCTTACTATCAATGGCATCATATAATTTATATTGGCAGTGTATTTTCTTTCTCAGTAGAACACAAAATAAAGTATCTTATAATTGATGGTGTCTTAGATAGGTTGAAATATAGTATGTCCCAGGCATTATGCTAAGAGAAATTTTATTATTTAAACACACATCTATTTTTTTTTACTAAAAATTTTTTTTAAATGTTTTTATTTATTTTTGAGAGAGAGAGACAGAGTGTGACTGGGGAAGGGGCAGAGAGAGGGAGACACAGAATCTGAAGCAGGCTCTGGGCTCTGAGCTGTCAGCACAGAGCCCCACACAAGGCTCAAACTCACAAACCAGGAGATCATAACCTGAGCCAAAGTTGGATGCTTAACTGACTGAGACACCCAGGTGCCCCCACGTCTCTTTTAAAAAAAAAACAACAAAACAACGAGCATGATTTTTCATTGGTTCAAGAAAATCCCTAGTTTAATCAGTTTATATCATTTCCCCTAGAATGAAATGCCAAGAAATATTTATAAACACTGAAAATAAATATAAACGGAAAATATTTATAAATACTCCTTTTATCTCAAAATTTGTAAATCATCCTGAAAAGGGATGATACTAGCTCTTGATTTTTTAATGGGTGGCAGGATAGACAAAGCAGTTGCTCTTACATACCTGATTATTATGCTTCTGCTAGATTTAATTTAATTATGCCATATCCACTTTAATAACATGCACCCAAATATCCAGCATTCCTAAGCCAATTCATGCTGAGCCTGTACATATTTAGGAATGCAAATTACATTAAAATGTATGTGTAGAAATTCAAGATAATGTAATCAAGGCTTGCATATACAATATTTTTCAATAATTAAGAATTTAGTAGTGGGGGAGGGAGAGGTGAAAATGTTGCCTTATAGTGACAACCCATGAAAGAGATTAATTTAATCAAACAATGAGGAGAAAAAAAAGGCAAACGAGTTATTTCCAGGTTTTTGATACTTAATTTTCTGGGAAGTAAACTGGGCATTACTTACATTTATAAAGAAGCTTACTACATTAATCATTTTCTTTGGTGGACCAAATCATTAGCATACTTGCTCAAGTGGTGGCTCTCAGGCTGAGGACCAACATATAATGCTTAGGATGCTATCACTCACTAACTCACTCACTCATTCATTCATTCATTCATTCATTTATTCATTTGTTCAATAAATACTAAGTACTTAATATATACCAGGTACTATCAGAGTACAGGATACATAGAACGAGCAAGATAGACAAGAACTTACATTCCATAATGGAATGGAATAACATTCCATTATTATCCAGATAATAAACAAGATCAAAATAATTCAGGGAGTGATATGAGCTAGAGGAAAATAAACACTGTAATAGGATGAGTAGTGGAACAGTAGAGTTGATCAAGAAAATCCTTTCTAAAGAGGTAAGACTTGAAAGATGAGAGGCTAGCCATGGGAAGAGTTATAGTAACAGCCTTTCAGAAACTGGGTCTATCCTTTTACCTTCTCTCTCCACTTTGTATCACCCTCCAAGTTGATTCTGGTGCATTCTGGTAAGCTGCAAAACTGACCACAGTACTTTGCCGTTGTGCCTTCATTAGGAGTCCTTTTAACTACCCCTTCAATGCTGGCTGACCTTGTAATTTGCTTTGGCCAAAAGAATGTGGTGGAAGTGATTTGTGAGTTCCAACCCAAGGCCTTCTACCCTTGTGTTCTTAGAACCTTTGGCTGCTATGTGAAAACTTGGGCATTGTTGGCTGGGAGAAGAAAGCATGTGGAGAAACCTAGTCATCTTAGGTGTCACAGATGAGGCCATCATAAACCAGCCTGCCCTGGCCAATACTCTACAGATGCATGAGCAAGCCTAGTCAAGATTGGTTGAGCCTGGCTGAGACCAGAAGAATTACCCACCTGAGCCCAGCCAAAACTGCTAAACTGCCAAAATCATGAATTAAATAAATGGTTGTTGTTTTAAGCCATCTAAATTGGGGAGTGGTTTATGATGCAGCCTAAACTGATTGATACATAAGCCAATCAGTCTGGAGATTTGAAGCCTTGACTGGAGCACTCTATGCAGGTTTGGGTTTATTAGGCTGAGGTAAGCTGGAAGGACAAGCCTGTGCTCACACCTAGAATGCGCCTGAACCACTCAGATGTTCTGGAAATAAGCCAGCATTTTGGTGATGTCTGGATGGGAAGTATGGGGCCCAACACTACCATTTGAAAATTTTCAAATAGTGGTCAGAAACCTGATAAATTATATGATTCCTTCTTTTTGCTTTATAAATGAGGAAACTAGATTTTAGAGGTTGTATGTCTCCCACCCCCACCCAGCTCAAAAGGAAGTACAGTTTATTTTTTTATTTATTTTTTTTTTTTTAATTTTTTTTTTCAACGTTTATTTATTTTTGGGACAGAGAGAGACAGCATGAACGGGGGAGGGGCAGAGAGAGAGGGAGACACAGAATCGGAAACAGGCTCCAGGCTCTGAGCCATCAGCCCAGAGCCTGACGCAGGGCTCGAACTCACGGACCGCGAGATCGTGACCTGGCTGAAGTCGGACGCCTAACCGACTGCGCCACCCAGGCGCCCCTTTCTTTCTTTTTTTTTTTTTTTTTTTTTTTTTTTTTTTTTAAAAAGGAAGTACAGTTTAATGGAAAGAGCACAGGCTTTGAATGTTGAAGCCCAGAGTTCAGATTCTGATTCTCAACATTACTACCCAGCTGTGATACTTGAAACAGTTTACTTCATTCCTCCAGCCTCAGCTCCTCCTCTATAAAATAGAGATAGTAAAACCTCTGTGGATGAGTGCATAGGAGAGCCTGACTGAGTTCCTTGGTGTTGCCCAAGTGCCTGGCTGTTGCTACTACAGCACCAGAATCTTTGACTCAGCGTTGGGATTACATTTCATCCTCATCTGGAGGCAGCTCCCATCTGGTATTCAGAGTGGCTGGTGCTGCCCAGTTCTTAGCTTTATAGCGTTTTTCACGTATTCTGCAAAAACTGGAGGGTATTCCCTACAGCTGAGGTTTGGGTGCCTTCACACTCAATGGAATTTCATGTTTATGGAAAATGGGCAATTCTTACCAGTTTATGTGTCTGTTAGTTAACATGAGAACCTCACTGCAGACTGAAATCTGACACTGGAGTAATATTGTGAATCTAGAACTTCTCATCTATGAAGGTAGAACCCTGGTTATGATGAAGATTCATCAAATCTGAAGACCTTCAATTGAGCTGTCTTAAGATGCATATGCTTATTTCAATTGCTACCTATTTTATCATGTTTTATGAATTTACCCAATGTGTACTCAAATTACACTCATAAAAATAACATAAAGTGAAGTGAAAAGTAATAACAAATCACTCTTTTATGTAACCACTTAATAAAGTAGTTATTTCTATTGCTTAGCCATTGGGACTATGTTGAAATAGGGTATGTGTTCCTTTGAGACAATGAGCACATAGGTTCTATAAAATGACAAGGGCTGCAAAATCATCTTTTAAAAAGAATCTCAGTTACTTCCTCAGATCTGAGGGGATCCATGGCCTTGAAACCACAATTAGAATCTAGATGAGACCTTATCCCCCCAGCTCTGGTATCTTACTGAAGATCTTGTGTAGGTCAAGTTTATTTGCTTTTTTCTACACTATAAATTTGAGTTGTTAATTAATCTTCTAACCTCACGGGGATAAGGTAAGGTTAAGCAAAATGATTGAAAGGAGCTTTGCAAATTTATAAAGATGTTTAATAATGTTTCTAATTATATTGAAAGCAGTCTGAGGCTGGTTCTCAGACCCCTTGCAAGAAACTCCCATGTGGACTCTCCACTGCTGGTTTTTGGGCAATGGGTGTGTCCAAGGCTGGCAAGTGAGGGTATCTTCCTCACCCAAACCAGTTAGGGTGGGAAGAGACTAGGTTCAAGGGGAGCATGGAAACTCCCCAGCCCCAGTGTTTTGTTGGAAGACTCCACTCCTTTGTATTTAGAGGCAGTTAGGAAAAGTGCTTTCTCTGGTGAACTTTGTTCTTCCTCAAAAGCTACAACACTGATCTGACCAAGGAAGTAGTAATGGGCTCTCCCCAGCAACTTTTCCATGTTCCACTCCTCCCTTTTTGCCCTACTATCCTCCCTCACCACTCTCCTCCCCACCCCATGTGACTGAATCTTGAAATGACTTACATAATAATCCTGATCCAGACCTTTCCTCCCAATTAGATGTAATTGTCCAAGAGAAACCTAGGAACAACAATTTTTGAAAATTATTTTTAGCGATAGCATTAATTTAAATGAAGAAAATAAGCCAATTATAGCACAATTTGAAAAATACGTGAAAAAAAGGAGTGAAAAAAATAAAGAAGGCATTTAGTTGGTGATTTTATTATAGTATGCTGTTTTAGTTTGATGCAGCTGGTATGCCTAAAAAAAGAAACAGAAAAACATTCCAGGTGATACCTTTTATTTGGTAATTGATTGATACTGGCCATCTGGCTTCCTCAGTGACAAGAAGCTGGCCTGCTGGTATACAGCAACACCTGGGTATATAAACCTAGTGGCCTTTACTCTTAACTCTCAAAGCTCACACAAATGCTGTCCCATTCCCATTCTCAGAGACAGAACTTCTGAATGCTGGTAAGAGTTCATTCATATTAAAGTCAACACTGGATGGTGCTTTGTTCTATACTTAAAATCTAGGTCTTTTAAAAGTAAAATTTTTAGGAGTAGATGCAAAAGAAAAAAAAATTGCCATTACTGTAACACCTGGCTCTCCCATAGGCTTTAGAAACTGCAAGTAGCAGGGAACAAGGAAAGAGGAGGGTGTGTCTCTTCCCTGTCATGTTCAGGATGGAGCATTGTTAACCCTTTTAGGACTCAAGACAACCAAACCTCTTGTAATTTGCATTTCTAAAAATCCAAATTTGTCAGTATACATTACCTGTATCTGCACATCTCCTCTTTCTGCCAAAAATTTATAGTATTGGTATATGTCCCAATCTAAAATCTCACTGTTAGAACTCAGATTTTCAGGTCTCTCAGTCAGTCTCACTTTTTCCACTGGAATACTTTCACTTTTTTCCAATTTGTCAGCAACTGTGAACAGAACAAAACAGAGACTAGCCAGAATACACAAGGTTGCAAGAGATAACTTAGAGAAAACAGCTTAGAGAAAACACTGTTCAGCCTATTCTTAAATTGTGCAGAGGTCTGGCCTACTAACAGAAAAAAAAATATATACCCTTAGGAGATAGAAATTTACTGATTTTTGTTTATTTGGTTCTGAGAAAAGTGCAAGAAACCTCATTATTTTTTGCAGTCCCTACAAATAGTGTATTAACACCTATCAGAGCCTACTGAAGAGTTTGTCCAAGCAGGCTCAAGGAGAGAAGACAGATATTAGAAGCAGGCAACGGACCCTCTCTACCACTGACCTTTTCCAAGATTGAAACTACAATATAAGAGTAATAGCTTCTTAATTATTTCCTATAAAGAGTAGGAAACTAAATATAAATATAAATATATTTGAATAAACCTAACAAAGTATGAAGTTTGAAACATATATAGTAATTGTAGTTTCATTAAGCATATGAAATGATCTTGTTATATATATTATCTTAAATTAAAAAGCAGTTGTTTCACTCTTTCCTTTCTCAGATCCTAATAATGCCAGAGCTGTGTATTTAGATATTATTTTGATTATAGAAATTAACCATATGGACCTTACCTTATTCACTTCTTGGAAGACTTTTATTTAAAAACCTATTATGTCGTCTGGTTCAATGATGTGCAAGATGAAACGTTACATTCAACTTTGAAAATGATTCCAGAAACATATATTAATCTCATGCTATATTTTTTGTGATCATTTTAATCATTTAAATAGAATAATGCTTACTTAAGTTGTTCTCACATGTGGTGACAGAGACTGATAGTGTATGTATCTTACATCCATTTATTGAAGAGTTTTTAACAAGCCATCCCATATTCTAAATGTTAGAATTGGAAAAACTGCTAAATATTTATTGATGCTTCATTCAAATTCTCAGTTGAATGAAAGCACAGCACAAGAACATGGGGACTTATTCTAACAAAAATAAAAGATAAGCACATTCATTTAAAGCTTTTGAAAAGTAATAAAATCAGAAAACTCTACATTGTATTAAAAGAATTGTACTATAACAAATGCTGAAAGCATAGTCATTTAATACTTTCATAAATATACAAACTGGCATTGATTTATTCTTCTAATTGCTCAGCAAGTCTATTTATCTTAAATTATGTGAAATACTTACTGTAATCTGCTACCTTCTTGTAATGATTTAGGGCAACTTCACAATTCTGTAGAACATTGATTCCTGACAAATATCTGTACCCCTAAAACACAGGGATATATATTCTTAATATTCTGACAGTGTTGTATTTATAACATGCCCATTTGGGCCCAAGAATACTTAATTTACTTACCAAAATCATTTGGGACATCATGCTTCCTCCAGCACTTCCAAAGGTGTAATATATCAGTGCCTAAAGTAAACGAAAAAAAATCTATATCTATATCCGCCATCTAAATTTGAAGCTCAAACCAATCATTGCTTTTTTATTCCTTGCCCAGCAATGAACTTTGAACTACTCCAAAATAAATTTCAACTTTTGTCTTCTTCCTTGGTAAAGATGGCTGACATTTTTGGAGGACTTAGGGCATTGTACATGATACTTCATTTACATTACAAAATACCTATGAAGTAGATATTATCTATCTATAATGGAGATATTATCTATCTATCTAAAATACGGGACATTAAGAAATTTTATTTTATTTATTTATTTAAAAAATTTTTTAAACATTTATTTATTATTGAGAGACAGAGAGTGAACAGGGGAGGGGCAGAGAGAGAGGGAGACATAGAATCTGAAGCAGGCTCCAGGCTCTGAGCTGTCAGTACAGAGCTTGACACAGGACTTGAACTCACAAACCGTGAGATCATGACCTGAGCCGAAGTCGGATGCTTAACCGACTGAGCCACTCAGGCACCCCAAGAAACTTATGATATTTTAATCTTAAACTTCTGAGTATTGAGCTGGTGCTTTTAACCACCACTCTCAAGTAAGCCCCTTTACCTAAAGAGGAGACTATTCAATGTCCCTTTTTAAAAAATTCAGTTTTGTTCCAGGAAAAACAGAATAACTTTACCTTGGCTTGATTGTATTCCATTCCTATTCCATAAGAAGACAAAAATCCTAATGCCTAAAGCCCAAAAGAAAAGGAAAACTAAATAAATCCATTTATTTCACAATTATTCTTATTTACAGTGGTAAAAGATATTTTAAATGTCTGTTGCATAATAATTGTATTGTTGGCTTATATCTTATATCCTATAATAAAGTACCCTTTTACACTTTTGCTAAGGCTGTAAGAAATTGGAAAAGGTAATAGTGGGAGTTTTCTATAATATATATGAAAATAGGCTAATACTGACATTTAGTATAAATCATAATAACGAAACGTTACAAACCAATGATATTTATATTCTTGCCTTTCGTGGCAATGAAAAAACTTCTTCCTCCAACATTTTAGAATTTAGATTTGAATATTTGTCTTCATATTTTTAAAAGAAAATGCGATGTATATAAAAAATTCAAATGCAAAGAACTGTATTGAATAAAAGGAAAGTCTAATCGTGTAGCAAGATGCTAAAATAGGCAGCCCCAGATCTTGTTCCTCCATAGAGACACTGATTTAGCAACAATATACAGTCCAAAAAATCTTTATGAGAACTCCAGCGACAACTTAAGAAATCATAGTAACCCAGACAAACTCAAAGCAAGGAACGAACAATCCATTGATACAGGTAAAGAAAGCCATTTATTTAACCTGCAATTGCTCCTCCCCCAAGCCAGCATAGCACAGTGTGATTAAGAGGAAAAGCCCAACTCAGGACTTCTCCCTTGGGAGGGAAAGAGAAGAGTGGAACCTAGGTCCAATGTTTCAGCTTTTGCAGGGACTGCCCATGGGTCTGATTTCTGTCTTGCCTGATTTGGCATGATTGAAGAACCAGCATACTATGGATTCCTGGGCAGCTGCTGAGAACAAAAGAGAGCTCAGCCACTAATTGCAGGACTGGAGAATTTCCCATATACCACAGATAGAAGCCAGCACAACTTGGCACAATCAGCAGAAAGTGACCAACTTGTGACTTCTCCTTTGGGAGGAAAAGAGAAGACTGGAATGGGGGCCCAATGTTATGGCTTTTGGGAAGCTACTCAAGGACTGATTTCTATCTCCTCTGACCTGAAGCACTGACCGAACTCTCATGCTTTAGATGCCTGGGGCCACTAAGAAGAAAAGGGAGTTTTGCAGCTTGTTGCAACCCCAGAGAACCTGCAATATCACATACAGACACTAAAAGGAGCAAAAGACTACAAGCGCCCGAAAAATACCAGCAAATCTCTGTAACTGGAAATTACAAACACAAGCCCCAAGAAGACACACCCCCGGAAATGATTTGAGAGGTCCCCAGAATCTCTAGCTATGTTGACAGGTGAAGGTATTTCCCTGCACATATCCAATCTGTAAAGATAAAGGGGTGGCTATATTTCCAAATACATAAATCACAGAAAAAATTAACAAGGCATATGAAGAAACAGGCAAACATGGCCCAATCAAAGGAACAAAATAAATCTTAAAAAAATAAAACCCTCAACCCTAAAGAAATGGAGATCTATAAGTTACCATACAAAAAATCCAAAATAATCATCTTAAGCTCAAAATGCTACAAGACAGCACATATAAACAACTAACCAAAATCAGGAAAAGGATGCATGAATAGAATGAGAATATCAAAAAAGAGATTGAAAAAGAAAGAAAGAAAGAGAGGAAGGAGGGAAGAAAGGGAGGAAGGAAGAAAGAAAGATTTCTTTCAAAAACTCTGGAGCTGAAGAATATAATAACTGAATTGAAAAATTCATTAGTGGGCTTTAATAGTAGACTGATCAAGCAGAAGAAGGAATCAATGAACCTGAAATCAGTGGAACAAAAAAAATGAAGACAAGTAAGAAATCCTAAGAGACTTATGGGAAACCATCAAGTGGACCAATATACACATTATGGGAGTCGCAGAAGAATAGTGAGAGAAAAAGGGGCAGAGAGCTTATTTTAAGAAACAATGGCTGATAATTTCCCATATCTGAGGAAGGAAATGGATATTTAAATTCAAGAAATTCAATAAACTTCAACTAGGATGAACCCAAAGAGGCCCACAGCAAGACACATTATAATCAAACTGTTACAAGTCAAAGACAGGATCTTGAAAGTAGCAAGAGAAAAGAGACTCATCATATACAAGAAAGTTCCCTTAAGTTTATGAGCAGATATCTCAGTAGAAACATTACAAGCCAGAGGGAATAGGCTAATATGAGCAAAATACTGAAAGAAAAAAGTTGTCAACCAGAATACTGTATGGCAAAACTGACCTTCAAAATGGAGAAGTAAAGGCCTTCCCAGATAAATAAAAGCTAAAGGAGTTCATCAACACTATACCTGCCCTATAAAAACTGTTAATAGGAGTCCTGCAAGTTGAAAGAAAAAGATGCTAGACAGCAAAACAAAAATATACAAAAATATAGAGCTCTCTGGTAAAGATAAATACATAGACAAATACAGAATCCTGTAGTACTGTAATAGTGGTACAAAAGTCAGGTTTAATTCTGGTATAGAATTTAATAAAACAACAAAAGCATAAAAGAAAACTATAACTATAAATGTGAATGAATACAAAATGTGAATTGGGTTATTGATAACATAAAGTGGGGGGAGAGAGGAGTGTTGTGATTGCAGTTAAGTTGATATTAATTTAACTAGAAGATGTTTTATGTAATCCCCTTGGTAACGACAAGGAAATAGTTATAGAAGATACACCAAGAAAATAAGAAGGGAATGAAAGCATTCCATTACTAAATAAATAAATAAATAAATAACAAAAGGAGGGACGAAAAAGGGAAAAGGACAAAATAACTACAAGGCAAACAAAAACAATCAACAAAATGACAACAGGAAGTCTTTCCTTATCAGTAATTACTCTAAATACAAATGGATCACACTCCAAACAAAAGATACAGAGTGGCTGAATGGATAAAAATAAGCAATATGCAACTATCTGATGTCTACAAGAGGCTTTATTTTTTTAGAGCTGGGGGGAGAGGCAAAGAAAGAGGGAGAGCGAGAATCCCAAGCAGGCTCTGTGCTGTGAGCATACAGCCCGACACAGGGCTCGATCTCACAACTGTGACATCATGACCTGAGCTGACATCAAGAGTTGGACCTTTAGCTGACTGAGCCACCTAGACACCCCCAAGAGACTTTAGATGTAAGGACACATAGGCTTAAAGTGAAAGAATGGAAACACATATTCCATGCAAATTGTAACAAAAAGAGTAAGAGATGACCATAATTATATGAGACAAAAGTAGATTTCAAGTCAGAAAGTGTCAAAAGAGACAAAAAAGGATATTATATAATGATAATAGGGTCAATTCACCAGGAAGATATTACCATTATAAATACATATGCATTAATGGTAGAGCACCCAAACATATGAAGCAAACATTGACAGAACTGAAAGAAGAAATAGACAGTAACACAATAATGGTAGGAGATTGTAATGCCCCATTTTCAAAAATGGATAGAACAACCAGACCAAAGCTCAGCGAAGAAACAGAGGAGTTGAAAAACACCATAGACTAATCGGACCTAACAGACATATAGAATGCTCCACCCAACAATAGCAGAATGCACCTTCTTCTTAAGAACACATAGAAAAATTGGGAATGCAAGCTGGTGCAACCACTCTGGAAAACAGTATGGAGGTTCCTCAAAAAACTAAAAATAGAACTACCCTATGATCCAGCAATTGCACTACTAGGTATTTATCCAAGGGATACAGGTGTGCTGTTTCGAAGGGACACATGCACCCCCATGCTTATAGCAGCACTATCAACAATAGCCAAAGTATGGAAAGAGCCCAAATGGCCATCGATGGATGAATGGATAAAGAAGATGTGGTATATATATACAATGGACTATTACTTGGCAATCAAAAAGAATGAAATCTTGCCATCTGCAGCTACGTGGATGGAACTGGAGGGTATTATGCTAAGTGAAATTAGTCAGAGAAAGACAAAAATCATATGACTTCACTCATATGAGAACTTTAAGAGACAA